ACCCGACTAGATAAATTTTGCCAAGGCATTACAAGAGACTGATGTATTGAAAGCTTCCAAAATATTGTCCGATCAAGTAGTTTCAGTACCAGCTGTCAATCAAACTTATTGTAGCACGTGATGTTACCCAAGTGATCGATGGAAGCTGGAGCTAGCTTATCACATGACGCTTTTACGATTTTTTTTTTCTAGCCAGGAACAGAGGTATCTCGTTTTCCTATATTTGCAATTTAACTTCACTTTCCCTGAGACTCGATCACAGCCGTAAAACAGACTGTCCAGTGTTCAAGGGTCTTTGAGACTCGATCAGAACCGTAAAACAGACTGTCCAGTGTTCAAGGGTCTTTTCATGGACAAATTAGCTTCGATAGCTGACTCAGGCGGCACTAAACACCGGTTTAATGCTAAATGTATACTTTTTTCCTAACATAAAACAATAGACTTTAAGAAGGCAATCGTATCGGTAACAAAGTCTATTGYCTTTTTAGTTGCAGAACGAGTGTCACAGAAGAAAACCCTAGAATTTTGTGGAGCGAGGTTTACTATGACGCTGAAAGAAATCTGTGAAGAAACTCCAAAAGATCCAAWAAGACTTCACGTGATCAATATAGACACTGAGATATCTGCGGAGAGGTTAACATTGTTCATGGAGGTGATCAGCGGAGAGGAAGTAGAAGACGTGRTTTTTGGAAGTTATTCAAATGCATTGGTTACCTTTAAAAATCCACCAGGTGAACAAAGCCAAGCCATACTATTGATACTATTGATATATCACCTATTAACTGAGTGGCAGGTTTCGTACCGCRTCGTGTTTATGGACAGTGTTTTTCCGTTGGCTTATGGCCAAAGCGCGAAGCGTCACAGAACTCCCCACTCGGTTAACAACGTATTCATTAGAGAATTTTAGATTGACTTTTTTTTTGCCCCGCAAACGGCAAACGTGAGGACGTTTTCATCGTTTTCCTGTATTTTACTTTACCTTTTACAAAGCTTCTCACCAAGCGCAAATATTCTTTTGTTTTTCTACTACTTGGACTTTTTTGCGATTCTTTTTTAGTAATTTAAAAGAATTTTTTACTGGTCAACTGACGTTTCACGTTTGCCGTGAACGTAAATCTAAAACTCTCTATTATATGGCAAAGCACTGCGAGGAAGCAGAGCTAGAAAAATAAAGTAACATCACACAAGAACTGCATTGGAAGAGCTTCCTACAAYGGTGCGCCTAGGGAATTAGAAACTTGCCCTTCTCGGCCAAACATACTCTACAGCAAATTGTGCTTGGCTAACGAAAGAGCTCTAAAAAGTGTACTTTTTGTTTAACGTTTTTTCCAAAATCATATTAAACCTACAAATAAATCTCTTCTTATTTTATTATTTTCATTATGGTTAGAAACCAAACTGCCCAGTAAAAGGGTTGTAAAATTTTCCGGTCACCTCGCATCGCAAATTGCGCCATTGAGAAGACAAAAGAGGGTTTAGAATATTATTTCTAATTCCAATTTATATTTCATAGGGTCATGATATAAAGGCTATCACATATTTATAGACTAAATATTTTYATAGACTTCAAGAAATCACAAGAAAAGTGTAGCACAAGAGCCCTTGACGGCAGACACCTAGAAATCGAACAGGTTGACATATGTAACTGTATCGAAGTGACAGGACTCGCTCCAAAYACAACCAGAGACATCCTGTTCTATTACTTCGAAAGTCCACGAAATGGAGGCGGTGAAGTGAAAAAGGTAGAAATGGATGAAGATGGCACAAGAGCTTTGGTGTTCTTCGAAGATCTATCAGGTTTGATTGCCGATGTTATTAATAAAGCATAATCCATTTTATTGCGTTGTATTTTAGCTTTTAGAATGCATGTCATATGTATCGTGCATATAGAACAAAGGAGGCCTTATTGTATTGTTTCAGTTAACAATAATATGGTCACAAAGCAAGATCTTGTAATCAATGGAACGAAGCTGAAGGTGGTTCCTTACTATGTCTTTCTTGGTGAGACCTCAGCCASCCCTGGAGTTGGGAAAGCGGAAAGAATTGTCAAAGCCAGTCCACAGACGATGGAATTTATTAACAAATTCCTCAAACAAGAATTCGAACAGCTTCTGCAGGAACACCAAATAAAGTACACGTGGCAGGAAGGTTCAGGAGAGATTGTTCTTAGTTGTGTTGAGCCCAAGATGGACAAGAAGACATGGGAGAATTCCTGTGAAGCTGTTGTAGCCTTCATCAACCAGATTGTGACACAAACTATCCCCGTGTCAGAAGAAGAAGTCTGGAAAGAATTGTGTAAGGAAGCGAAGAAAAAGTGTGTCGTTTTTGAAGACCGAGTAAATATCATGTGCTTGRAAAAAAAACGCTCATTCACGTTGACAGGCAAGAAAACTGAGGTGTCTTTATTGACCGAACAATTGAAAGATCTAAGCTCTGAAATTGAGAAGCAAATTATTTACGAAAAAAGCAAAATTAGCAAGAAAATTTCTCTCAACGTTGCACAAATGGAGTTGTTTAAGTTCATTGGGTTTGTAGAAGATCTGCAAGAGAGATTTAAAGACCTTGAAGTGACGTGACGATGGTAGAAAACGATGGATCCATTAACTTCAGGGGACCAGATGCCATGGTGAAGGAAGGAAACATTACCGTCTGGAAAACACTGTCCAAAGTGAAAGAAGTGGAAATGGAACTACCTGTATCTATTGTTGAAGTTCTCAGATCTGAACTAGGAAAGGACTTTATTTTTCAAAGTTTTAAAAATAATGCCATCAATGCAGTTGTCACTTTTGATAAACAACTCTTGTTGACAGCGGTTGATCGAGAAAATGCGAAAAGAGCTGAAATCTTCATTAAAGAAGTGACAACAGAAGAAAGCATTCCTCTCGACGAACACCTAAAACGATTAGTTGAGTCCGAGAAATGGAAAGAATTCAAATGTGAAATGCAGCAGTCCAAGCTACTAAAGATTACAGAAGAACCAGTAGTAAGCACATTGTGGATAGCTGGCATGACGGAAGATGTTAGTTGTGCCAAAGAAAAAATTATGTCATATTTCAAAGAAAATGTACAACTACACGAAGTGATTAATATAGAAACTGGTCGCATAAAGTTTATATTCAAATACCAAGGTCCCGCCATCAAAGATATCGAAGAATCCCTAAAGAGCCAGTCAGTGAAAGTATCTAAGAAAAGTGAAAACGAGATCTTAGTTTCTGGCACCAAAGAAGGAATCCAGCTGGCTTTTCCAAAAATTGAAATGATCATCAGTGACATCAAAGATCGCACAGTCGATTTGGACAAGCAGCCAGGAATGAAGAAACCTTTTATTGGGGATATGGGCCTGGCTTTGTTGTCTGCCATTGAGAACAAACATAAATGTATCATTGAACGTTGCACTCCATCGCAAAGTTCACAACCAACTTCATTTGGAGCTGTCGATGAAGCCAAGAGCCTATCCAGAATGATTTGCAGTTACGTCACGCCTGAAGGGAAAAAAATATTACTGTACAAGGGAGATATAACGGAACACAGAGTCGATGTAATGGTCAATGCAGCCAATGAGAAGCTAGAGCATGATAGTGGAGTCGCGAAGAGGATTGCAGATAGGGGTGGCCAAGAAATTCWAGAKGAATGCAATGCAYATATAAAACAATTTGGTGATCTTTYATYGGGCGAAGTTTTGGTTACTAGAGCGGGCAGCCTCCCTTGTCAACGAATCAATCACGTGGCTAGTCCAAAGTGGACTTCCTCAGTACGCCTTAAAAAGACAAGAGGAACCAAAGAGGGGTATGAAGTTCTTATGCTGGCTCAGGCTGTGAACAACGCATTACACAAGGCAGAAGGGTATAACAGTATTGCATTTCCCGCAATAAGCGCAGGTGCATCTGGATTTCCTGAAAACATTTGTGCAGAAACACTAATACAAAGTGCACTCGAATACTTTAAAGAAACCCCATCATCAACTCTAAATGAAGTTCACTTTGTTCACATGAAAGATTCTGTTATCAAGGCTTTCCACGACCAAATGAAAATGTCATTTGATAAAGAGCCGTCTTTTACTGATACTACAACGCCAGCAAAGGAAAATACTACAAAAGCAATAAAAAGACGAGGGAGATCATCTAAAACTAGTGCAGTTTTAGTCTCAAAGGWTGCCAAAACGACAGTGGCGCCGATTCAAGTCATGATCGTTGTTGGTGATCTTGCAAAGGAAGATGTAAGTCAAAAGTTAAACTGTCCTTGCGCATTTGTCTTTGGCGCAAAGCTTTAGGACGTGAACAAAAATCCAAAAATCCAGGGGGAAAAAACAACCCTTTTTTAATTTTCTTAATTTAAATTTCGATGTCGCCAACATCTAGGACTTCAAAAAAGTTATTTCCTAATAATCTACTGTCAGCAGATAATATTACCTATCATCCGATCTTTTGTTGCTTACAGGTGGAAGCCTTGGTTAACACTGTATCACAGGATCTCGATCTGAGTAAAAATCCATGCGCTAGAGCTCTTAGCGATGCTGCAGGCCCTGGATTAGACCAAGAATGCAAAGGCAAAGGAAAATTGTCAGTTGGACGAATGGTCGTTACTGATGGGTACAACCTTCGTTGCAAAAATATCTTCCATGTGGCAACTGGAGATTGGGAAAAAGGAAAAGGAGAAGCGGTATGTAGCTCAGCATTTAACCGAAATTCTTAAATAGTAGAAAGCAAATCATGAGCTCACCTCTGCTATTGTTTACTCTGGTTTCTATTGTTTTCCATTGAATCAAATGCTAATGTTAGGCAATTAAAAATCGTTAATTAATGTCATTTATTCTGAAATGCTTGTGAAATCACGCAATGGACGCTTCATAAAAGTATCTTGATTGTGAGGTTAAAATAGGCTACTTGCGCTAAGAGGTCACGTGATCAAATCGGCCATTGTGGCTGGCATTCTACAGGATTTTAGCTGTGCGAGAATGTAAAAAAGATGGCGGATTCGGGTAGTTTTTTTGGTAATAAAATGTATGTAAGTTAGCGCACTAAAAGCGATAAAAATCCCGTTTTCATACACGAAAAATATTCTTCTTAGATATCTAAAGTAGATTTCTAAAATACTTCTCATAAGAAAGTAAATTTTCTGTTAATAAAAGGCACAAATGATTGCATTTCTTTTTTGAATGCAATTAAATGATGTGGCTGTTTATGCAAAAATCGTGATGAAATTCCATGGTGTAAATTCATCGGTAAATATTGTAAGGAATAAACGTGAACCTCTCAGACACAGTATTGTGAGTCGAAAGCTCAATAAATTGTTTTTAAAACCAGTTGTACTGTGTAACAAATACGCTATCATTTATCTCTTTATTATATTGTTAATCCTAGAAGTCATTTTGAAGTAGAGTTTACAACATGAGAATCCTCCAGTCCAGACCCTCTCTATTAGACTTCAACCAAAAAGAACAAGAATAAGAACAAGAATAACAAGAATAACAAGAATAAGAAGTGAAAAATTAGGAAATATCATGATGAAATCTAAGCTAATGATTTGGCTAAGTGATAAGAGGTTCTCACTTGAGTGAAGTGCAACAAAAAACTAAGGGAATGAATTTTAAAACGTTTTAAACGTTTAAAAGTGATAGCCTTACTTACTGGTGATCTACAAATTTAGACTTTTAATAATTGTGTTGATTTTAGGTTCTACGTTCGTTGATCCAATCCTGTTTGAAAGAAGCAGACAAGAGAAAGTTTTCCAGCATTGCATTTCCCGCCATTGGAACAGGAAAGGCTGGCTTTCCTAGAGACGTTGTGGCCAGGGCTTTCTTTGAAGAAGTTGAATCCTTTAAGAATAAAAACCCAAAAAGCACTGTCAATGAAGTTCGTTTGGTTATTTTTCCTAAAGATAAACCCACGATTAAAGCCTTTCAAGATGAGGAGAAAAAGAACTTAGCAAAGAAAAGCCCTGGCAATGGAGAGGGCCAAAACTCCGTCGGTGAGAGGTTTCAAAACCCTCAAAAAGGCGTCTCGCACTTTGGCTCAGTTCGTTTGGAAGTCGTATCTGGGGATATCACCAAGCAAACGACTGATGCAATAGCAATAGCAGCAAACAAAAATCTTAAAGTGTCAATTTCCGGAATAGTCGGAAAAAATATTGCCGAAAAGGGAGGTACTTCTATTCAAGAGGAATGTAACCAGCTGGGGCCACAAAACACGGGATCCGTTGTCAACACTTCAGCTGGTTCTCTTCCGACTAAAACCATTTTCCACCTTGTATTCGATCATCAGCAGGCCCTATCTTCTATAGAACTAATAAACGCTATGTTCAAATGCTTCAAGGAGGCTGATTCAATGGGAATTACTTCTATTGCTGTCCCTGCGATAGGAACAGGAATGGGAAAGATGAGCCCCAAAGATGCAGCTAAAGCTATTTTGTCCGCTGTAATAAATATTTCACAGGAAAATCCAACTTCATTAAATCATATACGTATTGTCGTCTTTAAGAGTGACATGATAGAAGCTTTTTACAAAGCCACTGAGGAAGCAAAGGCACCTGCGTCAATTTGGCAATCTTTTAAAGGGATTCTTGGATTTGGCGAGGTGAAAGATGCAAGTGCTCATTTACACCAGCCATATACAACTAAAGATGATAGAAGTGGAATTTCCACACCAGCTATGAATGAAAAAATGTGGCTCCAGGTTAGTAGCCATCTTTTTGTTATAAACCTTATTAAGCTGTGAATGACAAGCATCGAGGACGGCGAAACGAAGAAGTGAGGGTGATTAGCTGTCAGATTATTTAGCTTCCAAGTACGTCGAATCGTCCTTAGTGGCTTGGCCGTTCACTATAGTACGTTGAAAAAGTAACGTTATAAACGTTGACCTGCTCACTTTATGTTCCCATATCGTCGTCCTCGATCTTTGTCGATGCTTAAGGTACATTTTGTCGAAATTAGAGAACGATATGGGAAAATATTTGGCGTGAGGATCAATTTATCTTGGAATTACAAATATCCCTGAATGAATAAGGTTGAATCATAGTCTGTTTTCAAAGCGCGATATAGGTCGTTCCGGAATTAATTAAATGAACCTCCTGCTATGAACACCTTGTTAAGTCTTTTTTTACTTTAACACTTTTTTTGAACTTCGTGTGCCCTTAAACTAGATGTATTGTTTTCTTTTTTTGTGGAAGAATTAATGCAGTATTTTTTGACGACGGTGTTACGTTCTTGGTCAATTGTTTTGTAAGGTTAGGCATAATTATTTAAAATATTTAGGCATTAATGGCATGCACTGTTAGGGCACTGTCTCTCAACACTGTGTAGTTCATGCCTTTTGGATCGTATAGGTTCGATTTCCGACTAGCTTGAGCCACACCATTTTTTTGAAGTGTCAGTTGTTGTGAAAATTCTTGTCATAAGGGGTTTGTCTCCCGGTACTCCGTATTTTCTCTTGTGTATAGGGGATTCATGTTGGCGTGATGATAAAACGCGCGTCTCTCTGAGGCCCGGGATTGAATACCAGTCGCTTTATGTGAGCTGAGGCGGTTGGTTCCCTTTCTGACTCCGAGGGTTTTCAAATCAACCCTAAGTAATTCAAACTGGTTAGAGCTGTGCCCCGCGGTCATCAGTACATGGACTGTAAAGCGGCTGCCAGAGGCGACATCGCATGCTTTTAGTTCGACCCCAATGAGCTGAGCCACTGCTGTACTTGCAGTATGGCGATTAGCGATAACACGTTTTTGTAAATAGTGAATGTGGTAGTGGTAGTGCGTGTGTATCAAACCTCACGGAAAAGCCGTAGTGAAAAATATCTATTTTTCTTTTTTAAGTAATTACTAAAACAATATATCTATTTTTTTCCTAATACTCTTTCTCAGGTATTCGCTTCCAGTGACCAGGTCTTGAACGAAGCAGAATCTAAACTCATAGCTCTAGTAAAAGAAAAATCGAGAAAGGAAGAGATTTATCATGAAGCTATTGACAAGCTTTCAGAAAGCCAAAATCAACGGATTATGCAGTTTCAGACAACGCATAATACTACAATCCAAATAGACAAGAAAGTCAACCGCATTGTTGTTCGGGGTGATTCTGAAGATGTATTCATTGTTACCTTAGGTGAGTATGTTCGTAATCAAAGTAGCTCATAACTTCATAATTTCAGATGTGAATATAGAGTTTCTTGTGCTGTGATTGGTCGGGCAATGGGTGATTCTGAGACGATAATCACTGCTCAAGCGGTGATTATGATGTTCTCCAAAGTTTGTTCTCCAAAGAGTGGAGGTCATACTGAAACGTTTCTTTTTATTCTAAATTTCGACTTTTCTATGATGTTCAAGTCTAAAACTATGCTAAACCAATTACTCCCCTCAGGCTCAGTGATTCGAAGACTCGCGGCTCGGGAAATATTCACTAATTCCTTGGGCGAATAATTGTTAATTAACAACGACCGGCGACAACGAAAACAAAAAAGGAAACGACAAGGACAAAGACAAAGACAACAACAACCTTACTAATGATATTCATCACCATCACCATCACCACCACCACCATGATTTATCATCTATGATGATAATGATTTAAAAAAGTTATGATCATTATCATAACTATAATGATGATGATGATGTTGATGACGTTATATACTGCCATAATAAGAACAACAATGAGAATAAGAAAAAGAATGAGAATGAGGAGGAGGAGGAGGAGAAGGAGAAGGAGAAAGCAGCAGTAAGGGGGATCCGCGATTGATGCCAAAGATATACGGGTTTAACTCGCGGATTTACGAAGACGGGTACAGCAGATTTACGGGAATTCCCGCGGTGTGTCCTTACTGCTGCTGTGTTGGGTACCGTAAACGGAGGTTAAAATATCCTTTATATATAATGGATACCATCAAAAGTATCAAGAACAAGACTGTGCGCAAACTTAGAACCCAGGTTCTGGACAGGTTAGACGCAGACTTTGCCTTTACGACATTTATGGAAGGTAATACGGATGAGACTATGACGCAGGAAAGAGCAG